TTATCTAAAATTTTATGTTAATGTGTGTGTATATGTATATATGCTTTCTTCCCTGTGATTAGTAAACGTGCCGGGTCAAAGTCAACTTAAGCCGCTGTAGGCCTGTACCACCAATTCGGCAATTATTGAAAAAAAAGCTGCCATTTTTACAGGAAAATTCTTCCCCAACCAAGTGGCCATTTGCAATATACATATATATATATATATATATATATATATAATCTACTGTAAACTTCTTAGAGTTTTTCAAATAATTAACTCAACTGGATTGAATTTCTTAATCTCAACATCGAATTAGATACATTTAGTATCTTTCGGATTTACTAAAATCTAAATAATAATTATATGATTTGAATTTAAATCTTGCTTTTAATTTTATTAAAAATAATAAATAATAGTTCGAGAATGACTGAAATTGAAGTTCAAATCAAAATTTAAATCTGTCAAATAATCAAATATAAATACACCCATTGACAACTTATTTGGGTCTTGAAGTAAAATTCTACTTCTAAAATCTTGAAATAGAGCTTATGATCTTATAAATTATTTTTATAATTTAATATTATAAGTTTTTAAGTGTATTAAATAGCTCTTACAAATTTAGTAGCGATTGTGAGTTATAGTCCCTTTGTTTAGTAGCATCATGTAATCCTTGATTAGCCCACATGGATTCATCAAAAATTTCACTATAAATGGACACTTGCTCAAAAAGTTCAAGCATTGTGTAAATTTCGTAGGTATATATGTCATTTTTATGAATTTTAATACAATTGTATTTTCTCATTAATTTTTAAAAATTTATCTAAAAGTTTTTCAAATAAATAGTTAAATGAGTTTTTTAAAAGTTCATATAACATGTGTTAAAATATGTTATATGAAAAAGTTCATTCTGTATTATAATATGTTTCGTAACATTCATGATTTTTCATAATAAGTATGTTTGATTTATAAGCGTCTCAAATGAAAACTTTTTTACAAGTTATTTCTTTCAAAGTTATATAAGTACAATTTAAGTCTACACCATGATTTCTAAATGTAGTTTTTATAAAAAAAAAATTATTATTGTTGTTTTAGTTCAACCATATAACACTTTTAAGTTTCGTGAATTGATATGAAAGTTGTTCATAATAGATATTTGAGTATAAATATGTAAGTTATATAATTTTCCTACTTTCATGATTATCTTTATTTTATTTTAATTACATATAAGTTGAAAAATCACTTTTGATTAATATAAAAACTGCGAAAGTTATATACGTTCATAATTACAAAGTATTGAATTATTGTAAACGACATGTTTTCTCTGTTGAGACATGGGTATTATTCCACTCACGTAACATGATAAATTTACACAGTAATAAACAAAAATTTAAGATTCAATCATCTCCTATACGGAATACGAGTCATGAGACTTACAATATTATTTATATTAGATCACTATAGTATAATTAAGCTGACTTTACAAGATGAACTCTTACTGTTACTAAAGGTTAGTTATTCTAAGTCTTCCTTTGACCTTGAACTTACTCTTGACCTGAACTAATATACATTAGAAGGTGTGAATTGGGGTGAGTTTCATGGACTCAGTAAGAAAAAATGAGCAGTTCCCAAAATACATACATCAGTCACCAAATCTTTTAAATCTATCATTCAGTAAACATTCAAATTTCTTATTTCAGTATCATAACTCAGGGCATACCAGTTTCATTAATAAAATTATTCAGTATCTAGTATTACAATTTAAGCAGTAAACAGTTCAGTAAATATTAATTCAATATTTCTCTACTGTAACTTTACTCATGACTTCTTTTTTTTTATCAGTTTATGTCTTATTAAAAATAATTTCACCATGCGACACCGTTTCTGCCGACATCAACGATGGCTGTAAGGATCTCTTCTACCACATGAATACATTACAGTTCAGTTCACGTTTAACAGTTCTTATCATTTCGTCACGTCTGGCTGAAGTCGTATCCACGAGTAAGGTGCACCATAGTCACACACCAAAAGGCTACATACACACCCATTCATCAGTGATACTGGTTAAACGGATTTTTCAATCTTTTAAAGATTCTTATGTTATTCTTTTGCTAATCAGGTTTGCCACTAGATGATCTGTTCAGATATGCACTTATTTATACATCATATATATATATATATATATATATTATACATCAATAAGTCTACACAATAGGCATAATATGTAATACCCTTACATTAATTTTAATAACTTTAAAATTAATGTAGAAATATAATTTTTAAATTTTTATTTAATGTGAAAATGAAGAAAAATAGGTAGGGGATGAAATTCAAAACAATTTTGGGAAAAAAAGGTGAAATTTTGGGTTATGGGGGTATTTTTGAAAAAAAAATTAGAAATTAAAGGTCAAAATACAATTTAAAAAAAATGTGTCACGTAGAACGCCCAGTTAGCAGCCCCAACAAACCAGAGCGCGCCGTGTGACGAGGCACACTGACGAGGTGCCAGCGGAAGGCGATGCTAGCAATCTGCGTGATCGCAGTCGGACGGTCTGGATTTGTTCCTATGCGTATATACGGTCCGGATTCGTTCTTATTTTTAAATGCGATCGGATATCCCAGATCAAATCGCGATGAACGATCCAAATTCACTTCTTATTTAAACTAGATCGGATGGTCCAAATTAAAATGAGACAAATATAAATACCCCTCTTCACGTCAAACCCTAACCCTAGCTGTCAGACCCCTGGCCGGAGAAGAAGAACCAGTCACCGGGAAGGGAGCCGACAGCCTTCCGTCGCCGAGCTGGAGCCACCTTCGACCGTCAAAAGAAGTAAATATTTTCTCATTTGCTCAAAGTTCAATTTTGAATACCTCTATGACCAAATTAGAGTAAAAGGATCGACGAATGAGCCGAAAATTACGAGTAAAGCCCAGCGGCACAGTCACGGGAAAAATAAAAAACTACCTCCGATGATGCCCTTCCCGATTCCCGTTTTATGCAATTTTTCTACCATTGTAATCACCATTCCTTTTTCTACAGGTTGACTAAAGCAAAACACTCAACCGCGAATGTAAGCCGGCAGAGCCACCGTACTGGAAACCCTGCTGCCAGTAAGCCTCTATTTTTCGACTTTTTAGGCAAACTGATGCCTCTTAATGTGTTTTCTCACAAGGAGGAACACAAAACCGACCGAAACTAGTCGAATATGTCGCCGTGCTGGAATCCTGAAATTGGCCAAAAAGAGTTTATAACACCGATTTTGGATTTCTGATATATTTCTAGGTACTTGGAGCGTGTTTTAATCCCTTAAAGAAAATTTAGGGAACTTGGGGACCGCCAATAGGCGCAGCTGAAAGTTTAGCATTTCGGACATCAATTCGAATAAGAATCTCTCACTTTATTTCCTATTATGGAATGGAAGTCTAATTATAAATAATACGGTATTCTGTGTGATTTGGAAATATCGATAATTAAAGATTCCTAATGGAGCCTGAACTGGTTATTTATTGCTATTTGTCACGTTCTAATTGATTGATTGATAGCACAATTTCGAATGCCTGATAACATACTAGAATTGGTATGATGATTCGTTTATGTCTCTTTATGCAGGTATTTGTTTGTTTTACGTGATAAATAATTAATTGGAAAACTAAAAATTAAAGGTAAACGAAAAATTATTTAATTAAGTGAATGGACGAAATATAGCCTTACTGGATATCCGGAAAGATGGTGGACGGACTGGGTAAGTAGGAAACCCTACCGTGAACATTGTATCATACCGGACGGGGTATAGAGGATTTGTATTTTAGCGATCATACCGGACGAGATATGAAGACGACCCATTTCACCATCATACTGAACGGAGTATTGAGAGATAATATCTTTTGGCGCTCATACCAGACGGGGTATGGGGATGACCCGTTATTTGAAAATGTTGAATAAAGATTCATGCATAGTAGGGACCTCCCTATGTACCCCCATGTATACCAGTAGGCTAATAAATGAGAAAGTTGTCGTTCCGACTGATTGAATATGAGATTATGATATTGTTTATGTTATTACCTTTATAGGTCGATTTTTTGAAATCTCGCTATAGTAAATGTGCGGTAAACAATTTTATTTATGGTAAACGGATTTACTTAAATTAAGAGCTTCATTAGTTATTTTTATGATTTCTATCAACATTTTTTCGTGTCAAAGTGATGTGACATTCTTATTGGAGTAGTGTAGCTCACTCTTTCATTAACCATTTTAGATCAAGAGGACCAAGATTCAGATTCTGATCCACAAGAGGGTTATGAGTAGGACGTTCAGTTTGTTTGCTTTCTATTTATTTTTTTGATTGTTAGTTGTTCTTTTAAAAGAGTCATTCTTGTATCCCTATTAGGTATTCAGAATTATTGTGTAAGAAATATAAACCCTAATGCTATTATTTCGCTTCTGTATTCAAATTTATAATTTATTTCCTTTCAAGTTCCGGTTTGTTACACAATATATACACTTTATATGCACAATTATTGATTCAATTAAGTACATATAAATACGCAACACATACAATATGAACATACTTTTATATTTACGCAAGACATACATGTATTCTATAAACAAACACATACAAGTTGTTCACTCATGCATACACACGTTGCACAACCTACAATTATACATATATACATTACACACACCTATAACTCGATAACTAGTGGGGATAAGATCTACATATATATACAAGTAAAAATATGAATACATAATACTATGTCATTAGCAATATCATGTAGGTTTTCAATCATATGCAATTGCACACATGCGAATATGATGAGTTTTCAGAACTCGTTGTGGAAAACATGAATAGTTTGTAAAATCTGTAAACAAGTCATTTCAACGAAAAATAAGGTTCATGAAAATATAGGGGCCTCTAAATGAGACTAACTCAATCCCTTACCTACAGTCGAATAAAAAAATATATGAATCCTTATTGGTTCAAGTCTACGGCCTCCTTTAAATCTTCACTGCCGCTTAGTTAATTTTCTTATTCACAAATACATAACATGCGTACTAAACAATAAGAGATTTTTAGAAACGAACCAAACAAAAAACTAGTTTTACCTTGGGCACGCGATCCCGCTCGCCAGAGTCACCATACGTCACCACTCATGTGCTTCCGGTTCACCACGTGCCACCGTCAGAGTGCCATTTGCCGCCTTATGCGCGACCACCAAAATTGGCACACGCCACTATAACCAGTCACGAACTGCTACGTTTTGGCCAGAGATCACTAAGAAACAATTTGCGCATCCAACTCCGGTACAGATCTTATGGAATCGTGCAGGGAACGTGCCACAGATCGCGAAGTTGCACCTGGGCACCGCACAGGTCTCCTTTTCCCACCGCACACTGTTGCGCTATTCCTTTTTTGGCTTTCTATTTTCAATGCAAATAGACCGGTCTCTCAGATTCGGCATCCAGCTCCGCGCACCAGGTAACACTTTTCGTTGCACGCTGGTCTTCTTCTGCGATTTACTTTCTCTCTCTACATGCAGCTCCCTTCCTCTCTCTATGCACAGATCTCTCTCTCCTCACGCATGGGATCTCTCTTCTCCATGGCTCTCTCTCTCTCTCTTTTTTATAGTCAGAGAGAGGAGAGCCCCATATAGGCCATCCTCGTCTTTCTTTGGTGGAGGGAAGAGGCGTACACGCCTCTTTTCCTCTTCTTCTTCGGCGGCTAGAGGCATACACGCCTCTAGTTGCCCTAATTTTTTCTCCTTATATATAACCAAAACGACGTCGTTTTGATGCTCTCAAAACGATGTTGTTTTACTTGTTTATATGTTTTCTTCCTTTATATCAAAACAGTGTTGTTCTTAGGGTTTTCTAAAGCGACCTCGTTTTTGTTTTTCCTACTTTTGATAAGCAAGTAGGTTGGGTTTTTTTTTCTCTCGGACTAGGTTGTTACAATTATCATAAATAATTTTATATTGTTATTGAAGAGTCACAAATATTTAATGTAAAAGTTACTTTAAATAGTTATGAAGTGTAATACTATTGTTTTTCAAATATTTGAAACATCATGAACTATAGTTTCTAATCTTATCATTTCATATATTGAATTTTTATGTGATAGTTTTTTTTTTTATGATATCACTGTAACTTTTAAAAAATTATATAAAGTAAAAAGAATTTTCATAAACACATGTTAAAACACAAAGTTATAAAATATAAACTATAACTTATAGTCTTATAGGTTACTTTATTTTTAAATGTTATAATTATTATTTTATAATTACTGAAAAATTATATGAAATTACAAAAAATTCACACTAAAATGACATACAACTACAAGAAAATTGTACTTCTCAGTTCTAAACTTGTGATATATAGATTATAGCTTCATGTATTATTTTCTTAAATTTTAATTTTATATTTTCCAATAGCATCAAATAATTTTAAAAAAATAAGAAAAAAACATACAAATTACGTTGTTTCGCTAAATTTTTGTCGTTGAATATTTTATTTATTTAAATTTTAATTATATTTATATGTATTATCACATAGCTCTTGAAAAAATTAGATAACACTTTAGTGAAAATGTCACTTTAAATATCTAAATAAACAAGATATATATGCCATATCCATTTTCATTAATTTTAACATCAATTTATTTTGATTCTCCTATCAGTAATCTCTTGAGTTTAAATTAAATAAGATGAAAATAATATGTGTTACATCATTTCTTTTATTACTGATAGTTATAATCAAAGTATAAATTTTATTTTATTTTTAATTATCATGGATTTTTAGTATAAGAAATACCAATAAAGTATTACTTTTTAATGGACGAAATTAATTTTCTTGATGAAATAAACTCACATATTTTTAAAATTTTACCATACTAGTTAAGCACTGTCAATCTCGAGATTGATTCTTACTGGAGAAATAGCGGCCGGATATATTTACACAATTTTACGATTGCATTATATATGTATATGTGTGTATGTGCGCGTGTGTTTATCTTCTTTCCTGAGGGAAGGAGCTTTATGGGAACCTTTGGATTTTGAGCGAGGAACAGAGAGCTTCACTGGAGAATCCGAGTGAAACCAGAAAGAGAATCCGAGGGGGGGAAAACACAGGTACTTTTCGGGGAAAGGGGACTTTCTGTTGATGGGGTTTTCAGGAATCAGAGCTAGATTTTGCGAAGTGAAGACTTAAGAGTGAAAGAGAGTATCGGCAAGGGGTAAATAATCAGACTTAAAGTTTTTACAGTTTTTGTTTGTTCAGTTAGTATTTGAGCTTGAGAAAAATGAAATCCTCCCTTTGTTTGACACCACCGACTGAGTGGCTAAATGCTTCTCTTTATTTTCCTCTTCATTTTCAGTAAGGATGATTATTTAGAAGCTGCTTTTTTCCCCCCTTCTCTTTTCTCTCTTTTCTTTCTTTCTTTCTTTCTGGTTATTCTTCTTTTCGTCCCATTGCTGGTTTCTTTCTATGAGAGCTGATGAAACGTTGAAAGGAAAGGTTTGATTAAAGTGTAATACTGGCATTGGGTTTTAATTTTGGTTTTTGCATATTGCTTGTTTGATGAAATGCCAAAATGAGTTTTCATTTAGTTTTGGGAACACTTGAAGTTGAAATCCGAAATTGAACACTAATACTTTGATTTGAGCTTATATATGTCCTGTCTTCTTTCTCACTTTTTTTTTTCTTGGAGATATTTGTTAGCCTCGCAGTTTTTTGTATTCTTCACTTTACATGAATGCCATCAGTGGGCTCTTTCTCTCTCTATCTCTCTCTCTCTATATATATATTTATCTTTTTAATATCCGGTGTTTTTGCATGCTATGAGTAAACTGTATACTCATTTTAGGATACTGACATGATGAGGCATTTTATGTTCTTGATGAGGGTGTTGAAATAGATTTCTATGTACTTTGAGAAACTTCTTCTGGAACTGAGCTAAACTGTTTGTAGAAAGTCCTGAGAGAGTTCTGTTGGGTTTTCCTTGATGTTTTGTCTTACCTTCAAACCTGTTCTGCCAGTGAAAGATAGCATAGATTTTTCTTTTTGCTATTTGAATCTTCAAATTGAGATTGTTGTATGATATAGAGAAAGGGAATCGGTATATGTCTGCCTAGATTTGATCATGCTGTTGTCTGCAACTTCCCTTCATGGTGGAAGGTTTCTTTTGGGGGTCAAGATACATCATCATGCATGTCATTGTGTAAGCAAAACTAAACATGTTGTTTGGGGAATGCTTTGTCTGTCTTTATCTGTTGAGAAAGACACATGATGCCTAGTTTATGTATAGGAATGCAATTTTCATGCTTTCCTATGAGTTTCTGCTTATTGGCATCATAATTTAGATAAAGGTGTGAAGTTGTAATAGTTATCTCATGAAACTTGTAAATCTCAAATAGATATTGTTCAGAATGGGGAGATGATAATAGTAACAATAGGAAAACCTACCTTGTAAACTAGAAATAAATCAAGAAACCTATTAAAGATGGTGATTTGAGCTTGAGATTTATAACTACACTTAACAAAGCCCTTCTTGGAAAATGGATTTGGAGATGCTGGAACGAAAGTAATAGTCTATGGAAATCAATCATATTGTGCAAATGGTTCAACAGTGACTATCATGATCCACTAAAATTAAAAATAGTACATTTGGTTCGAGCCTTTGGGAGAACATCTGGAAACTAAATAATATCATTCTACAGCACTCTAGTTGGGTTATTAGGAATGACAACAAAATAAGATTTTGGTCTGACATATGGCATGACAAGTCTACTTTTCAAACAAAATTCTCTCTTATTTATGCTATTGTCAGGAATAAAAATATTTTGGTTAAAGATGCTGCAGTTCTTGACAATCTGGACTTTTAGTAGGTGTCAGTATTCAGAAACTTAAAAAATTGGGAGTTAGAGGAATATTTATCTTTGGTATAAACTCTGTCTTCAATTCAAGTTTATGACAGAGAGGACAATCTAAAATGACTACTCTCCAAAAATGATACTTTTACTGTCAGATCTCTCTACAACCACTTGGCGGACAATCTTAATTAAAACAACATTACTTTCCCTTCCAACATAATATGGAAATTGGGTACAACTCCAAGAATTTCATTCTTTACTTGGGAAGCTATAAAAGGCTGTATTCTTACCATTGACAACTAAATGAAAAGAAGTTTCATGATCGTCAATAAATGTTTTCTATGTAAAAATAATTTTGAAACCTGTAACCACTTGCTTTTGGGCTGTTCGGTTTCACAGCACTTATGGAACCCATTATTAGTCTTATGGGGCTGTCTTGGGTCATGAACAATAACATTCATGCTGAACTCCTAGCATGGGAAGACTTCAGCAGCAAGAGAAAAATGTTAAGATTAATTCCACTCACCATAATATGGGTCCACTGGAAAGAGAGAAACAATCGTGCTTTTGAAGGAATAGAACTTGATTTTAATAAATTCATTAATTGTTGGTTTCACTATTTTGGGTCATAATATCGATTGTCTTAATGATTTTGGGTTTTGTTGTCGATAGTTTAATTGACTTGTAAATATATTGTAAATGGGTTGTGCCCCCTTGGCACTCTAACATCAATACGACTCCATATTTTTATTTCAGAAAAATATATATTATCCAGAATGGGCACCATAATTTTCCTAGACTTTCCACTTTGCTTATGATGTGCTAAAGGTTTGTCTAATTTTATGGGAGAGCACACCTGTATAGACCTGTTTGTTGGAAGTGCAGATATGTCATTGTTTTAACTTTGTAAATCCATGGGCGTCATGTCAGGAAGGCCAAAGTAAGGTAAACAGAGACTTTCTGGTGGCTTTTAAAAAGGCAGTGAATAGGCAGAAAGTTTTGAAGGATATGATCTGCAGATGCTGAAATTGATTACTTTTGTGTGAGTACTGCCTCTGATGTGTGAATGCATGGATGAAACACGAGCTTTGTCTTTGTATAATCCAAAATCAGTAAGGCATGCTTGGAGGCTGCAGAGACCTTGAAGACTGTTCCTCTTGATTAATCTTTTATTTGATTTTTTCATGTATTTAAATCACACTCCTTAATCTGGTTTTTAAATAATTAATCTCTGAAGTTTAGCGGATTTGATGTGATGTTGAATGTTAGATTAACACGCTTGTGTGTTAGTTAAGACAAACAAATATATACAGTTTAGGCCTTAAGTAATTAGTCAACATCACAAGTTAGTTGTCTCACATCATCCACTCTATACTATTTTAAGCTCATTTCTCTGTTATTGACCAGTGCATAGTTTTGGTATCTGTTTTTGCTTTCAATAGAATCTATGGTAACTCTTTCAATTGTAAATCAAGTTTGACGTGCCACTACATTACCGATTGGAAAAGGGGAAGTTGTGAAACGAGGAACGGAAATATGCTTCCCTTGCAGTTGCAGCACCAGTTCTGCCTCCCTAAGCTTTCCCATCGCCATCGTTTTCTGGGAAACAACCAACACCATCCCCAAAGCTACACCCTTTTCAGCAAAGCTCGCCATGCTCCAGCATACCCCTCTCTTGTACCTAGCTCCTCCTCCTCTTCCTTTATCTCCGGTTCCCCAGGTAACTAATTCTTCTCTTTGTCTCTTTGTTCCTGTTTCTTCCATTTTATGAACAATCTGCCATCTTGCGAATCAAAATTTAAGTACTTGACTTGTATACTAGTGAAGTTAGTATATTTTCTTTCTTTTCTCTTTGCCATTTGTTACTTTGTATAAGAAAGAATGTTTTCTTCACATTGAATCTTCAGAGCAATTGTTGGATGCCAAAAGCAGGGAGAATCAAAAGAGGATAGCTGGAGTTGATCAGGATGAGTTACTTGATCCTCAACTGCTAGCAGACCTTGATAGCTGCTTTTGCGAATTCCAAGGGGTCCACATACACCACAAAGTGTGTGATCCCCAATCAGAACCATATATCTCATTCCAGACCCAGACTACTATTTCTTCTTCTCAACTTCCTCCAGAAACCAAGAAAGTGGGCTTCCCCATGATTTTGTTGCATGGATTTGGAGCTTCTGTTTTCTCATGGAACCGTGTTTTGAAGCCTTTGGCTGAACTCACAGGTGCCAAAGTTCTTGCCTTTGATAGACCCGCCTTTGGCTTGACATCCAGGCTCATCCATTCTTTCAATCATTCAAGCATCAATGACACAATACCATTGAATCCTTACTCTATGGCGTTTGCCGTATTAGCTACCCTCCACTTTATTGATTTCTTGGCAGCTGACAAGGCAATCCTGGTGGGGTATGTTTCTCATTTTTCCAATTCTGCTATGTTTCATGGCCGACAGGAAAGATAAGGGCCGCAGTAGTTTTACTTGGTTATCATATTAGGGGATTTCCTTTATCAGACAGTACGATTCAGTATCTTTTGCCGGATGGATGATAAACAACAATCTATTTTCTACCATTTTTTTCATTAATTTTGCTTTTTCTCATTATTCTTCGGAAAGAAGAGGCTGGCTTTTGTTTTGCATCTCTCTGAACTTCTAAAGAACTTGACGTGGCAGGCATTCAGCTGGCTCTCTTGTGGCAGTTAATACATATTTTGAAGCTCCTGAGCGTGTTGCTGCTCTAATCCTGGTTGCACCAGCAATATTGGCTCCCCCTCTGATGCCTAAGTTTGTTGAAAGAAATAATAAAACTGAAAGAGCCAAACCAGATTCAAGTAACATGGGGAAGCAATTCTACCAGCTGCGTAAGACTTTACTTAGGTTTAGCATGTATATTGTTCAATCCATAATGCAAATTGTGAAAGGAATTGCAGATATGCTCAAGTCTCTTTATAAGAAAGCACTGTTAGCCATTTTGCACTCCACGCTAGCTGTAAAACTGGTATTGATAGTTCTTGCTATTTTATTTTGTAGTTTTCATTTACTTAATTAGTTATAGACCTTTTCAAGTACAAGCCATCAAATAATTCGGAACTTGGACATGGATCCAAATTGCTGCAGCTCAAATCAGCTGAACTCAGAAGAATAATGATATATTCTTATTGATATAAGGACTGTACATATTGATATATTACCAAAAGAAAAAGACCTGCATCTTAATTCAAGATATCAAAGTCTTAAGGCAACTAATTTGGATTTTGACTGTTTTGACATTTATGAGGAGATTAATGCCATATGATAGGCAGTCTATATGGACATGTATGTGTATATATATATTGTCCATTGTATGGCATGTTCAAATTGTTGTCTGTGTTCAAGATTTTTGGCTGTTGAAAAATGCTCAGTTTTCAGCTCTTGTTTATGTATTAAGTTATTCATTTTCCCTTTTACCTCTTAAACAACAAGTTCTCTTCCTTGTCTTTTTGACAATAACTTGCTTCCTGGTTCCCAGGTAAGGCTGCTAATCGATAAATTTGGCATAGCTGCCGTAAGAAGTGCATGGTATGATTCAAAACAAGTTACCGATCATGTCCTACATGGTTATACAAAGGTGATTTTTCTAATAATTTCTCATTTCTTCTCAATTATCGAGGGGTAGAACGAAATTAAATACTAAACCACGTAATGGCTTAACTAGCCCTTGTTTTCTTGAATAGCTGAATGGCTCTTACCTGGAATTTACTAATATATTCAGCCATTAAGAGCTAAAGGTTGGGACAGTGCTCTAGTGCAATTCGTGGCAGCAATGCTTACAGATACAAGGCCACCTCTGGCTAAAAGGCTCCACAAAATATCATGTCCTGGTAATAATTTGAAAATATAAAACTTGCCCAGTTAGAGCTGTTACAAGTGGATGCTTAGTTTGAAAATAGTGTACTTGAATCCAAAATGAGAAAATTTTCAGGTTCTGTTTGATATTAAAATAGTTTTAGTTTTCATTTCCTAATTCCATGCATGTTTCTACATTTCAACAAGTATGATAGTTGAAACTTGAACATGAAAACAATGTGCAGAAGATAATAGTGAAAATATGGCGTGAGTTTTTAGAATTGGTTATGTTTATACTTGCGAGCAGCACAAACGTATACTACTCTGACATGTTTTTATCTATAAACACACACACACTTGAAGGATTTTGAAAATGTAAACAATAAAATGTATGCATCTATGAAACACATTTTAAGAAGATTGAAATTGCAAAGCAAAAAGCATCGTCGTCTTTTGTGCAGCTGTAAATTGAGAAGTTGAAGTCAATAGAGTACCGTACCTAGGTCTGTCTTAAATTTAATTAAGGCTATTTGGATGAATTGACCATTCGTCTTCTTTGATGAAAAATTCTTTTTCTTGGCATATATGTGATTTGCTTACTGTATGTGCATATTGATTTCAGTGTTTGACTAACATATCAAATCATGACTGCTACTTCTTGCACTGAATGTCTCTTTCATTATTTTAGTAGTTACAATGCGATGCTGACACTAATCATTCTGCCATGAAATTCAGTTCTGATTATCACAGGTGATACAGATCGTATTGTCCCCTCCTGGAATGCTGAGCGACTATCCCGGACCATTCCTGGATCTACTCTTGAAATAATTAAGAATTGTGGGCATCTGCCTCATGAGGAAGCAGTGGAAGAATTTGTTTCAGTTGTTAAAAAGTTTCTGCAAAGAGTTTTTGATGGGCAAATGGAGCATAGTTAGTCTTTCGGCACTCATCCTTCAGCATTTGTTTAGGAGCAGAATGGTAAATTTTATATATTTACACAATCAAATTTCAGAATACTAAAGAGTAGTATGGCTAACTGCCCCAGGTAGTATACATAAATAATCTTTATTCTTGACCTTTGTAGAATGTCATAACGACATTAAAGCCCCATCTCCTTTATGACCCACCAAATTAACAAATCACTCTAAACTTCTGTTAGGGTTGGATTGCTGGATACAATTTGATACAAACGACTTGTTGTAGGTGTGAAAAACAAATAGAGCTATCTCATTAGATATATGTGTAACAGGTAGGATTAGTACAAATAACCAAGAAATGCTTTCACTAATTTCTGAGAACTAACTTGAAGCTTCTTCTGTAGTTGATTTTTTTCAAGAATTTTTTGAGAGAAGATAAATTATTACAAACAGGCACAAAAGGGATGCCATCCCATATATAAATGATCTATAAGGAAGAAATGTGAAAAATATCAGAGATCACTAAAACTCCATCTCAGAGAGGATTGCCTGTAAACAAGACAGGAAGGGCATGGAACCAATTATACTTAATAGTAGCAGAAGGACAATTGATTCTTCAAAAGCTCTTATGTTTCCTTCTTACCAAGTTACCTGAAAACAAGGCGTCGAGGGATATGATCTTCTTCTAATGAGACTCTAACTTGTTTAGGAAATTAAAGAAACAAGTTCAAAAGGTAACCTTGTGAAATAGTTCATATTTCCAAAAATTCAAGCCAGGTTGGAATGGCCTGTTTAGTTCAATCCTGTTGTATCTCCATTCTATTTCCTGAACATAATTGCATGATATGTAAAAGTAATCATAATTTTCATATTTGATTTATAATGGAATAAATGCCATTTCTGTACTAGATTACGTGGTGATGAGTTTCTATTCGTACTTGTCTAGAGAAGAATCATAAATTTACCGAGTATAAATTTAAAATAAATTAGAATATTATTCTTTGTCGGTGTTAAATAGAGCCCTCCAAGGAAAGTGACTATGGAGATTCATGACGGAGCAGGGGGGTTTCTAGAGGAGGTTATTGAGGCAGGGCATAAAGTGGATGGTCACTGTTGGTTCTCTACAAATCCTAAGGGCCTGGAAGAGAATCAGTATGGAGAGGGGACAATTGTTTGAGTGCATTAGGTGGAGAGTCCATTAGGGGGACTCTTTGCCATCAATTTTCGAACATTTATGCTGTTGCTCTTGATAGGGAAGCGACAGGAAAAAATTATATGGTGGTCAGGACAATGATGAGGATTTGTGGGTTGAGCTGAAGCAAACTTAAATGACCAGGAGGTCTTCGAATATAAGAAATTATTGGAGATGGTATAATTGTTCAGAAGGGGTCAGTCTACTGGAAGTAGACCGTGTTGGAAACTAGACTCTTATATAGTTTTCACAGTGACATCATATTATGATTACCTTCATAAGGGTGAGATGGAGGAGGAGGGTTTCCTAATAGGCTGATTTGGAATGTAAAAGCAACTTCAAGGATTGCCTTCTTCACATGGGAAGCTGTTAGGGGGTGCATTCTAATATTGAACAACCTTGTTAAAAGGGGAACAATTCTTATGAATGGGTGTTTTCTGTGTAGGAGAGAAGTTGAGTCCAGTAATCATTTTCTCTTATGGTGTCCATATGCTCAGAGATTGTGGAGACTAGCTTATGGCCTTCTGGGTTTGGATTGGGTTGTTGCTGGTTTGGTGAAGGAGTTTTGTGCTTGAGGTGAAATCCGAGGGGATAAGAGAATGAGACTCATCCTGTTGGCTACTTTTTGGGTGATTTGGAAAATTAGGAATAGAATGGCTTTCAGGGTACTGAATATAATTTTGATTAATGCAAAGAACAAGATATATTTTTTGTTATAAGGATAATCCACTATATTCTATCGAAAATTTTGGGGACCTTATAGATATTTTGATTGACTTATAAATAGTATATTCGGTTTGCACTTCCTTGGTGCTTGTGAATATGTGTACTTTTTATTTAAAGAAAATTAGAATATTGTTCTTATTCCAACCTTTGTCATCTTTTTTTGTATTCTATTCCTTTTCCATAGAGTTAGCATTTTGAACCAAATGTAACCTAAATCTTACAATTATTTATTTACTCAATGTGTTTCTTGCTTAAAATATTATCTTTACTTTATGGTTCAGATGCATAAGGAGGGGCAAACTTGATGCTGGCTTTGGTGTTTTTGAATCCGAGTCGCTGAAATGGCCTGATTTATAGAGTTTGATGATGTAAAAGCAAAAGTACTCACATATAATTCTGCACGAGATAGGCAAATATCCCTTCATATGACTTTTTTTTTTGTGCTTTGGTGATATGTTCATATATAATCCAGTCAGCTTCTTGACTTTATATGCTTTTTCCGTTCCTTTTTATTCTTTTCCAGTATTAGGTGTTTGACCTAAAAAATTGCTCATTTCTACCCCCCATTTCTGACAAAAATGTCTAAGAGTTAAGATCAGGTAATGTTTCTTTACATGCTTGTGTTCTTAACTTCGTAAATTCTCAGGTGATGATTTTTTTTGTCTTTTTAACATTGTGATGGTTTCGTTATTCCTGAATCTGATAAATGTTGATTCTGTAAATTTACTTCATTACTATTTGATGTTTTATCTTAAACAGTCCGGGGTCATGTTACTGATTTTTTCTAAGGCTAGTAGCCATGTTCCTATTAGATTTTATTTCATGGTTTGAATATGGGGTTAATTGATCTCACAACTTTTTAATTGATTCTATCTGCAGGAAACCAAAATCAAATCTATCAGTGACAACACAAATAGTAGTCTTTAGGGTATTGAAAACTTGAACCTGTCTAATCTATCAGCGGTGGGCTTGACTAGGAGAATCAAGCCCAGGAGAATCTTAGTTTCTTAGAAGATCGTCTCCTGGAGCTCTTTGATCATGGGAGGGGTTTTGTTTCGATAGCCCCTTTCTTAAAGAACATGGGGCTTTTAGTCAATTGGTATTTTTGGTGTAAATGGGGGAGATGACGAAGACAAGAGAGCTCCATTATGCAATGATCTTAGGAAAGTGAGGCTGAGGAGGCAGGCTGACCTGTCGGTGATTGGGAGAGACTTCAACATGATCCTCGTTGGGCATGAACATTACAATAGCTCAAAAGAAGGATATATATGAGGAAGAGGACATCCTGCCACATTATCGATTTGTGGCAGGATAAGAAACTTTGATATGATGGCTTCATGATGGGTTTCTTGTTGAGCAATTATAATATCATTAAAAACAATATCAGTTTATTTAAGGAGTTCTTCTCTGATGGAAAATTTATGACCAGTCTTATATGTACTTTCTTGTTTCTTGCTCTGAAGATTCAAGATGCTGGTAATGTGAGAGCCACCCTAGATCAATAAGTTTGACTACTTATACTCACAAGTTCTCGTACATGGTATTGGCATTTTGCCGTAGCAAAGTTTTTGGGGAAGACAAATTTGCTAACTGAGGTGGTAATGAAGGTGGTAACGTTAATGTTAGATTGTCTTGGTATTTTTTGCTCTATTTCTTGCATCGGATAGGCTTAGGCAGTAGGTGGTGTGAGGGATTAAAATGGTACATTTTCTGTTCTTCTTTTAGGGTTCTGGGGTTCTTGTTTATGGGGATCCCACCACTTACTTCGACTCTATAAGTAATTTTCTTAAATTTCACTGTTACTTCATAAGAATCTGGGATTGGTTCCAGTTTCTTTAACACATGGCTAGATAGGGTTGGAATAACCCGCATGTTGTCATCCCTACTCTTGGAAGGAAAATATTTGGACTTTGGAAGAAAAATTACACAAAACAGAAACCGGTGCGCAGAGATGCGGGTAGCTCCAAAATTTTGACCTAAACTCTATGGCCTCTTACATGCCATTTTCTGAATTTCAGCGTTAAAATCCATGTTAATGGCTTTAGTTTTGAGTTATTAGAAAAATCAGTCAAGAGGGATATTTTGGTGCAAAAATTATGGTGTTTAAAAAAACGTCCCAAGTGTCCTGATCAATACAATTTCTCATTTAATGTTGTAATTATTGTAATATCACCATTAGCTCTCAAAATGATTAAGTCAATTTATGACAAAAATTACCCTAAATGCGTATTCCAGTGCACTTTTATGTCTCTTCAATCCGTCACAGTTATTTGGGATCCACTTGCAAACAAAGATGAGCTTTTTGCAGAGCAGCCTTGAATTCACATGAAATAATTAACACATTCGAATTTGATTAGGCCATTTTTTTTAATATATTTTCTTTTTTTGCCAATTAATAAATGTAATGTGAAAATTAAACACTAAATTATGCAATTATTGGGAGGATTTGCAATATATCTGCATCATATATATGTCATATAGTGCAATGTATGAATATATATATATATATATATAAATATATAAAATATACAAACAATTGATGGGTTTGTTCTTTGTTCAGTCTATTGGTACTTATAATGTGTTGCAGTATAGGTGGAAAAGCCTTTTCTTTTGACCAATTTAATGATGATAGAAGAAGAAGAAGGTATTATTTTTGAATTGGATGCTCTGTTTTCGCTGCCAAAAAATATAAAATTATCAGTGGTCCAAAACCCAACAAGTAAAATTGGGTCAAAAGTAAGCAAAAGAAAAGCTCCATGGACCATGACCATGCAAATTTCACATGTGCCATTCATTGTTTACCCATTTGAACTTAGGTGTGGTACTGAACTTCAATTTCACAAATTACTTAGAATTTGATTTTATCAAAGTTTATATTCCATGTGTGTGTGTGTATATATATATATATATATATATTTATGTATATCTATGTGTTGATGTACATATTTGTGTATGGATGTATGCATATATGTGTAAAATATGTTGTACTTATGTTCGCCCATCATTTTCTTCCGGGTGTTTCCTTTTTATCTTCACATAATAATGGGCCGGGAAGATAAACATATATACATATATATATATATATATTATCCTTTTTATCTTTTTAAATACTAATTTTGAACTACTCGAAGCCTACAACACGATACAAAGCAAGCCTTTTTACCAACCCACCTTGTGATATAATTATGAACGTGTTATAATCATGCATATATAAATATATAATTACATATATGATAATCTCATTAATGTTAATTTTTCTTTTGTCGTTCTTATCAATATTGTTAAGTAATGATAAAAATTAGTGTTTACAATAGTTTTATATACCTGGATATCAAATCAACTTTGAGAATTAAAGCCAGACGTGACGCAATTGAGAGGAAAAAAAAGCAACAATTAATTAACCATATATATATGATTAGGTCCCCTAATTATAGCGCATATATATATATATATATATGTATGCTTTATGTCTTTTTTATAGTTTATATACAAGTATATATATAAAAAATATATATTATCGTAATTAATTAAAATAAGTTATATAGGCCTCTCATGTAATTATAACTCATGATCATCCGTGACCAAATCCTTTCATCAGCAAGTGATTAATTCTTAATAATAATGATGAATTAAATCTGACCTACTTAGAAGTTTATAGGTTAGGAATCTTCTCGTCGTGACTCAAAATCTTGTTCAACGATATATATGTATGTATGTATATATATATATGTGTGTGGAAACCTGGCTAGCTACTATAACAGTTGCATGAGCACTAGGGTAGCTACCATGTTTGACATATTCAACAGCTATCTTACTATTTATTTAAATTATATCACAAAGATTCGTATTTATGTATATCGACTATAGTTTTAGTTATTTATTTAAATTATAATATTTGTATCTTAAATTCGTTACGATATTAAAATTTTACATTTTGAAATATATATTAGTGTTTACGTAATTAATTATTAAAATTTTGAATTTGAACTTTTGGTACGTATAATTACGATGAATTATTAAACTAGTAATAATTGGATCACTACATTATATATGAAACGATACATGTGAGTCATATGACTTGCATTGATGCAATTTTAAACTCTATTGTAGTATTTTATTTTGTTCTAAGTATATCGACATCGCTTATTGATTAAGTAGATCATATACTAAAACGATGTAACTAGAAAAAATTACTTAAGAGTTAAGATATGGATTGAAGTAATAATTAAGAAGGTCACTTATTTATTTTAATTATTTTATGTTAAAACTTTAGGTTATTATTATTATTTTTTTTTTGGCTCAATTCTTGGTCATAAAGGTAGGTAATACATAGGACAAATTACCTTTCATTGATAAAGCCCAACACTAAAACCCTAGCTAATAAGACATAGTGGCCCCATTAACTTTTCAAATAATATTGTTGACCAAAAAGTTTGCAATCCTTAATTTGTCTATTTAATTTGATTATGTTATTGATGATTAAGAAATGGGGGTATGATTTTAAGATCATTTTAGTTTGGTAAATGAGTGAGACTTACAAAATTACTAAGATTATGCCTTAATTAATATAATTTAATTACTCTAAAATTAGTATTAATTTTAATTTGTAAGAAAAAAGAAAAGTTAATTGGAATGGATTAGAAGGGGATCAGACAATCCCAGCTTTTACCTTTTATATGACATCATATTCCAACAAACTCATAATTTTAAGGCCATCACATCATTAGACTTAATTTATAAAACTATTAGCAGCATAAAATCTTATCTTCTAACCTAATGATGATGATGATGATGTTCAAAATTACACAATTTGATAAAATCTATATCACCTTTTATATAATTGTAAATGTTAATTTCGAGGTTGATGATTGCTAAATTCAAGCCAATTTGTGGAGAAAATTGCAATAGCATTTGATATGGAAAAGCACCTAATCAATTTAATCATTTATTACACTATAATAGTAATATATATATATATATATATATATATATATATAATCTCTATATACATTAGCCAATTGTTATTTACTATTATGTAATTGTTAATGGGTAATTTTGGACTAGTCTTTACATCGACAATATGTTATTCTCCAATTTAGTTAAAGATAAGAGTGGTAATTGAAATTTTATCATAAGATTGTATGTGTGGTAATTGCTTGTTTCCCTCGTCATTAATTATATAAATACATATACATATATATGAATAAAATAGTTGTGTTTTAACTTTAGAAATTTGTTTGAATCTAGAATTACTATGTTAGTCAAGGAATCCGTCTCCACATTCGCACTTAATTAACAATGTCATTTCATAATCGTTTTGCTACGATTTGTTGGTTGTACATCAATGCTTTGATTATTTGGAAAATAGGATAAAACAAATCTATATATATGTGTGTGTGTGTAAATGATCAATGTAAAATTAATAAGTGCTCTAATATGTGCTAGCTTCCACTCACGATTTTTTATATATGATATGATATGATACGATATGTATATATATGATATATGTGTGTGTGTGTTTGTGCACGCTATGAATTGATGGGAAAGCATTTAGAAATTTTGTTTGGCTCGTATAGTAATTGATTATTATTAGTAAATTTTTATAAAATTTTAAATAGTCTTAAATATTTTATAATATTTTAACGTATTTGTAGACATAAAAATATAAATTATAATAGTATAATTTAATAAATTGATGAATTATAAAAGGTATAAATATATTAAAAAAATAAAGTTAAATAATTATATTTTACTCGTTAATTCATTACATAACAAATCAAATAAAATATTATTAAACTAATATATGTGAGTTTAGCAAAATGAGATTTTATACCCTTTTGGATGATACACGGGGTTACCCCTTTCAAATAAAGACGTGGAAGCCAATCAATTAATTTATGATGTTTCTAAGAAGATTTTAATAGCGAGTTAAATTTTAATTTTTAATCTTAAAATTTATAATAGTCAGATAATATATTTTATTTTTTTAATATTTTTTTTAAAAAAATAAAATTTAATAATTGAATTTGATTGTATTCTCCCTATCAAAGTTCCTCCTACATTTTATTGGTCAAAAGGTTGTGACTAATAAATTCTTATTGGTCGGTTCTCAAGACATATTACTCATCATTGATTTATAAATTTTTATAATTTACAAAATAATTATTATAGTTGTTTTATTTTGGTCCTATTTTTTTTTTCTTACAAAATAATTATTATTCATGCTATATATTAAAATAGGTAAGACGAGGGAGATTTTGCACCCATGTTTTAGTTACTCAAAAGCGGTACTTATATTAATTAAGAAGTTGATATGTATGTATACATATATATATATATACACACACAATATAAAGAATTTGACTTTGTAGGTTGGCTCTAATGTGTTGTTTGGTTTGAAATTTAATTGGGTGATAAATGATAAAGAATATATATATACGTATATAATGTTGTGTGGAAATCAGTGGGTTTCTAGAAATGACAAAGAATCTAAAACGCTTATATGATTGAGCACATGTGGAAGAACGTGAAGGACTGAGTACCAAGAAACAACAACAACACCAACACCAGCATTCCTTCTGCAAATTCACCCCCAAAAAAAAAATATATATATATAAAGAAAAGAAAGAGAGAGATAACAAAAAAAGGAACATCTCTCAAAAGTGAAAGCTGCCATGGAAACAGAGAGAACATCTCACGCCTATACATACAAACACACACACACACACACACACATGTGGGTTTTGATACCCACATTTCTTTTTTTTCTTTTTCACAAAATTAATTAAAACCTCCTCACTACTACTATTACATATAATCTCTTATAACGAAATATATCTTGATTTAGGGTGTGTATGCCTTTTTTTTTTTTTTTTGTTAGATTCGAATTTGAGAAATAATATATTGTAATTTTACATAATAAATTATGGAGTAAATCACTTTGATCCAGATCGCGTAAAAGTATTTGTTTTTTTAATCATTTTTTGTTATACGATTAGTATTTATATTATTTTATAAAAAAATTATAAATTTAAATTTATATATATATATTTTAACTAATATTTTGTATTATAAAGTGTATAAATATTATTTGTCTTTTTTAATTTTTATGATCTTGATTTACGTATTAATTTATCATATAATATAATATAATATAATTATTGCTTGGATTTTTGTGCATTTATAAGTTTAGTTGTTCTTCATGTTTATCTTTTTGGGTTTATTGAGATAACACTATTTTGCACTTTGATTTTTTTTTTTTTCTTGAGAAATTTCAATTTTGGGATCCCTCTATCTCATCCCTACCATCCAACCAGCCGACCAAAAATGGTCTTACTCACTCATATATATTCATCACTCTTGTGAGAAAGAAAGAGAGAGAGAGAGAGAGAGAGAAGTGCTTTTTTGACAGTTTATAGGTAACTTTATTCCATGCTAGTAAACAGCCTTGATTGTAGCAAAAGCAGATCCAGAACCCAGATTCCATTCTCTCATTTATATTTTCTCTCTCTTTCTCTCTCTCTCTCTCTATATATATATTATATATATATATACGCATCTCAATTATGATGATAATATAATGAGCCAAAGAAAATGTGTCAAATCCATGTAATTAATTTGATACCACTGTTTCTTTTAAGCTTCTCTGTTTAATCTAGCTTTCAAATTCTGAAGCACCATCCATCATTCAAATACATATAATCACTTTAGACAACCTACAAAATCTGACTGGACATATATATATATTTATAGATGTTCTTGTTATATGAACATGCTTTTGACTGTTTCGTTGTTTTGTCTGGAGTAGTCTAAGGGTAAAGAATGAGTGATTTGGTATGAAGCAAAGTTCGAGAAATTGGATAGTGTCCTTTGCATGGTTTTTAGTGGCTTTCTTGGCGTTTCTTTAGCTTACTCTCTTCTTCTTTGTCCAACTCTCAACTCCCTTTTTTGTTTTTGGCCTTTGTTATCAACTGCATATATATATATATATATATATGCACACCCAAACACACACATATATATACACATGTAAGAAATTATATATGTTTTGGTCAAATTTTCCTATAATGGAACAATCATTTTAGTCATCAGCACGTACACAAAACAACAAAAATAAGTACTACACACGATCTCTTAGTCATGAGTTTATTTTTTTCTATAATTAACGAATCATTTTGTTAAAATCTTATGTTTCTAAAATTGTTAGAAGAAAGATATATATACATATATATATATATATATTAGAGAGTGAGATTGAAAAGATGATACATCACACGCTTAAGGCTCAAACAAACATCGGCGAAACCTTCAACCATAAGCCTGTTGTATAGTAAGCTAGACAATATGTAATGTTGTGTGATTAAGTCATTATTACACGTAATTACTGAATTATATATTATGAAGCATTAAAAAGAATGTCATGTATCTAACTTCTTATCGTATATTTTCGCAGGGAGCAAACGAATGGGTTTTCAAGGATCAAATGTACTTAGGTCGTCATTAATTAATTGAACTGAGTTAAACTTACAATATTTAATTATGAGAACTAAAGAGAGGCATAAATATACATGCACACACACACACACACACATATATATATCTCTGTACATGTTTCAGAGCTAGAGGGTGACCATGAACAAGCTGGATTGCGATTTCGATTGATTCCATTTAGTCTCCATTGGGAATTAACGAACATCATACAGTAGTTTATGTCTATGTATATACATACACACAAACATATATAGGGGGAGAGAGAGAGAGACTGCTAATTCTGCTGCATATTGAAGGTGGCTTTTGATCCAATACATGTGGTATACATATATACATACACAACTTTGAAGAAGCCAAAAGAAAAGAAAACCCAGATAGTGATTGCCACATTATATAATATGTTCTGAAATTTAGCAATGAGATCACAAGTCCCTTCATTGGAAATAAAGTAGATTATCAAAATTGTTAAAGAAAGAAGATATATAGACATATCATTTCAAGGACAATCAGTCAGTAATTGTAGCAACAAATATTAATTTAAAACTCTCATTAATTGTCAGATATTGATAATCAAGACTCCATGGAAAACACATTATATATATATATATCAGCTCGGCTCCTACTTTTCTGTAAACATACCCACCATACAAATACAACAAAACACAGAAAGGAAGAAAGAAGAAATAAATAAACAAACAGATGAAGATAAAAATTCAAGAAGCTGCCTACCATTTCTCAACTTTTTTTTCCTTTAGCAATAATTCATGATGAAGATCAGAAGACACCAAGAAGTAATTCTTTCCGTGATTGACCCATCTTTCAAATTGATCGATCATCATCATCACCATCATCGTCTTCTAATTACATCTCTCTCTCTTGATTCCAAAGTTAGAATCTTGTATAACTTTGTACTCCATTGGAACTCTCTCTCTTTTGTTCACTCTCTGATGAGGATCATCATTTTCATATTCTCTTACTTGAAAACCCCTGTAGCCAATTTCAAGTACTGACCAAAAATATATATAATATATGAAATAAATAAAGTTGGATTGTTGGTTTGTTTAGAAAATTAAGAGAAGATGAATATAGATCAAAAGTGGAATATCACAAGAGATGAGTAGTGGAATTAGAAGATGCAAAACCAGTCAGATCAGTCCATGCAGTAGTACTACTGCCACCAGCCCAGTACTGATTGTGATCATTATTATTATTCCCTGAAATATTTCCCAAGAAATTCCTCGACAAATTCAACCCTTTTTCTCGATCATTTTCCTCCATTTTCACGGCAGCCAAATGGGTCGTTGTAACCCCACTACTGATCATTTCCAGTACTGGCTTTGAACTCGACCGAAGCTGAGCTACAAAGCTTGATTGCTCAACACCAGCTTGCTGATTATGATCCCCATGATCAAATGAATACAACCCAGTTGTTGGCGATGGCTCTAGTCCTGTCAAGAAAGGAAATTGCTGAACTTGGTTCAGTCTCCATTGCTCAACAAGCCCATTTGAACCCCCATGAAACTCCATATCCCCGCCTCCCGCGGCCATGGAAGCCTGAATTCCTCCGAAGTTTAACCCGATATCAGTTGAATTGTAGCTGCCTAGGTGGTGTAAAGGAGGCAAGATTGGTAACTGTGATGTCATCCGGCTTATTATATCACTGTTAGAAGCCATTGCTGCACCAGAGGAGCTTGTACTAGGCCCTGCATGAACTTGGCCGGCACCGGCGAGGTCGGCTATGGCAGCTGGAGACTTTGATCTGCTAGAACTATTACAGTTACTGTTACTACTGTTACCGCTACTCCCTTTGCTCCGCTTGTTTCTTCGACAACCGCCACCGACCGGAACATTTCTCAGTGCACCGCCACGTGTCCAGTACCGTCGGCAAGTCTTGCAGAAGTGACGAGGCTGAGTGAGGCTGTAGTTGTTGAAGTAACAAAACTTGGTGTTGGTGGACTCACATCTGGGACACTTGAGCGCCGCCTCGGGTTGCGGTATCTTTGCGAGCCGGGCCCGCTCCGCCATCGATCCCGGCCTGATTCCGACGCCAGCTTGCGGAGGAGGAGGTGGAGGAGGAGGAGGAAGATGAGGGTTTTGATGAGGATAATGATGCTGATCATTACTGTTTACTCCTCCTCCTTCTTGATGTTGATTTGCTTGCTGCTGAACATTGAAAACAAAAACAAAAATCAGAAAAAAAAAAAAAAAAGTTCAAGAAACCAATTTATAAAAAAAGAAAAGATTAAAAGATCAAGCAAGTGGTATATTCAAGAAGAAGGGTATATATATAGGAATATTATTCTATCTTTTGATGATTTAACTTTTTTGGAGAAGAAGCTAGCTAGCTTTGGTATAGCGATGAATATCAATGGAGGAAAAAAAAATTATTTCAAGTTGAAATGAAATTGAAGTAATATACCTGGAGTGGCCAGTTGGGTGGATCTAGATAGACTGGAACAGAAGAGAAAACCATGGTTGATGATGAGAGCTTTCTCTCTTTTGTAAAGGGTTGATGGGGTTTATGAAGATATGGTGGATTATCACATCAAAGAAGAGGGAATTGCAGAAGAGAGAAAAAAAAAAAAAAAAAGAAAGAGAAAGATGGGAAAAAAAAAAGATAAAGGAAGAGGGAGAGATAGAGAGAGAAAGAGAAAGAGAGGTGTTTATTTATTTTTGTTCTTAGCATCTCCCTATCTCTCTCTCTCTCTTTTTGTTTTATTAATAAAAATTTTTTTTAGGGTTTTGTGGGAAAAACAAAACCTTACTGGTTTTCTTAACATGTAAGCTTCTTTTTATGCTCTAATATTAAATAGTTGAATTATTTATAAGTTAAATTCAATATCTAATTTTCCAAAAGTAAAATTATTAAGGAAAATTTATTAATTTTTCTCATAAATTTCTTAATTACAGTCTCATTTTAATCTTAATACAAATTAATTAATTAATTACTATGAACTGAAAATTCTTCAGACACTTCAAAATAAATAATAGATAAAATTTACAGTGGCGGGGCCCAGAAGAGGAGATTAATTAGTGGCTAAAATTAATATGGCCATGCATGTAACAAACATAGAGAAACCCTAAAGAATTAATTATTAGTAATTGATTATTATAATAATGTGAATTATTAGATAATTAAATTAATAAGATTAAAATAATATATATATATTTTTTGGGAATTAAGAAATAAAAAGTTGAGTCTTGGTGGGGTGGTCTTGGGTGGACTTGTCACAATCGAATGTACCTTTGTTTCTTGGGGCTGTCCCAAATGGGGTTTTTTTTTTTTTTAATTAAAAAAAATTTGCATGGAAAATATAGAAAGATTTTCATTTGATGTCCCTTTACGTAGATTATTGTTACACACGTGTTAAGGTAATTAAACTTTATATATATATATATGTCTTACTTAATTTCTCAATAACGTATATTAACAATTAATTAATTTGCCTGCGTTATATTATATATTATTATGTGTACTTCTTAAATTGGGTTTGTATATATCTATGCATATATGTATACATACACTATATATATATAATTAATTTCGCCCAATATCTAAAATAGAATTTTCCAAAAGTGTGAAACAATGTGGAGTAAAATTAAGAATGTATATTCTTGTGGCTTTTATTTGCTCGGCTAATTCAAAATTCTTAGCATATTATGGTAATTATATATATTATTTATGAAAAAAAAAAGTCTACATACACATACAAATATAAATATTTCTTTATATTTATTCTTTAACAAGAACTGGTATACCTACCAAAAGAATGTTCCAATTACACACATACTTTTTTTCTATTATTGACCAAAGCATTAACTGTGTTAATTTTGGAATACCCAAATAAGGTAATTCTTCAAATAATTAAAGGGTATAATTATATTCTAAAATTTTATTGTTAGTGATTTTTATTAGAAATTTGTATATTTTAATAATTAGATTATATTTATACACCAATAACGAATAAAGATAATCAAATGTATTTATCTTTTTTCATTGAATTAATATTTTTAGAAGTTATTTATAATGGGATTTATTATATTATATTATATTATAAATAAATATATATATATATATATATATAGAGGAATCATTTGGGATTTGACTAATGATCACTTTCATATATTAATTACATTTAATGAGTGTATAATTATTGTAATTTTTGGTGGTGGGGATATAATGATTCTAATTAGTATTGTGAAATTAATTTCTTGATATGAGAGAAGATTATTCAAAAGGGACCAATATATGTACATATATTGATCCCTTTATTAATTAATTAGTGAAAGACGTTAAGTAAAAAGTTTCTGTTGTATGTATGAAAAACCAAAAGACGTGTTCTATTTGTAAAGGTCCACAAACCCAATATGGTTTTTCAATTTCATAAGCACCAAAAAAGCCACGTACGTAGATATATATATATATATATACATACATACATGGATAATACATATATATATGTAATAAATACGGAGTTATAATCAAATCAATCATCAATCTACTTGTGTTCTACTACGTATATCCAGCTCAATCATTCAATTTCGACGCTGATTCAAGACTTGTTCACGTAATTTATCATAGAAATAGCTAGCCCACGTATATATAAAAAAGGATTTATGATTATACAATCAATCTCTAAAATAAGTAAATTATGAATATATATCTATGTATATATATATATATATATGAAGTAGTATCCTTTTTTTAATATCTTAGTCAAGTGGTAATTAACGACTTTTTCTTTTCCATCCAAGAAATAAAGGTTATAAGTATATGTCGATATTATATTTTTCAAACATTTGTTCCGAGTTTATTCTCCCTCTAATATGTTTTGTTGGGGAAGCCACGTCGAGTTGATATTGGCATTGTGTTAAGGCAATATAATGATATCGTCAAGTGTACTTTCTTATTAACTATTATTTTTACTTCGTCTTATATGATAAAATTATTTGACAATTAGAAGGACTCTAAATATTATTTTTTAAGTTTTAAGACATTAGAATTTGATATTGGATTGTGGAGATGAAAAGATGAATATGTCATGAGTTTTGAAATAAAGCTTATGCTATTCGTATTACTTCTTTATTTGGTTGCAAATGAAATTAAAGAATTTCATAGAAGGTAGTTTCACTTTATTTAGTAGTTGCATTATATGGATAGAGAAAAAAAAAATTTGGTTATTAATTATGTTAAAATAGACATGAGTAAAGAGGATTCCTTAATTGTATGTCTAATTAAAACCACTTACATAAATTCCACTAGCATAAAAATAGTTGTGATGAGGGTACATTGACTAATTAAAAGGAGTCATTACTTCAATCAATATAAGATATCCTCATTTTCTCCACAAGGACCATTTGCTAAACACAGATGAAACTTTTAAAGATGATAATCTGGCTATAATATTGTTACGATCCCTTTCTGAGTAGAATCAACATCTTGAAATTACTCTACTTTATGAGAAGGATGAAATCACACTCAAAGAAATCTATTCAACTCTATATAGCTATGAAATGAGAAAGAAAGAAAACAAAATAAACTTAGGTGAAATAATGAAGACGTTAGTCACAAGCGATCAACTATAAAACCAAAAGAGATGGTAAGAAAGAAGATTTAAAACTAGACTAAGCAAAATTAATGTATTTTGCTGAGAGATGAGAGTA